AAAAAAAAAAAAAAAAAAGGAGACTAAGAAACAAAAACTTTTACCCCCCCCCCCCCCACCACCCCCCTTTATTTTTTTTTTTTGCCATGTTCCTAATCCCCCTGCCCCATACATTTCACATTCTTCCAATAGGCGGGGTCTCTCCTTTATGCACCCCGATTACAGCACCATAGAGGACTGGGGGAGAGCGTGCATACGTGCATGCAGCAGCTATCAGATGAATAATAATCGTCTTCTCCTGAACACTTCTTCTTTCTGCCTTCAGAGAACATCCAACCGGTGTCAGTCACTGACGTCGTCATCATCATCATCATCATCATCATCATCATCATTGCCTCTCTATCTGGCTCTCGCATCGATCAACCGCATTGATTGATGGATTGGTATGACTTGACATGATCACAACCTTAGAACTTCGCCATTCCCACGCTCTCTGGGGTACACAGTTCGCTGTCGTAACTAACCTGAAACTTCTCAACGATAAGCTACTGATCCAGACTCCAATCTCTCTGGGATTGTGTCCTTTTGCGTCGCTTTTCCAGTTCTTGGAAGACATACTCCTGTTCCCTTGTTTTTCCTTCGCTACCGCTTCTCAGCTCCAGACTCTCCTCCACGAACCTCCCTCCCTCGATCTTCGGCCTGCCATCCGACATCACCACCCTACCGCTCCATCCATGTAGCTCTCTGCTTACACCTCCAACATTCAACATCACTGATTGCCACTCCTTTGGCATCAACAATCAACCACTAGCAACATTCTTTCCAATGGCCTGAACGTAACAGGCTAATGTCAGCTTGCTCGTCCTGTCGATCGATCATACGCGTCCGTCTTCTAGGGTACGTCGTCTCAATGCAGGAACGTCGGGGGCTCGCGGATATCCCATACCCATCCCATCCCATATCCTACGCCGTGTATGCAAATACAACCCCACAACCATTTCACGTACAAGTCTTTCTTTTCTCAGATACGATATGCTATGCTATGCTATGCTATGCTATGCTATATGTATTGACAGTTTAGAGCTGATCCCGTCTCTTTGTTAAGATTTAGGCTGAAATCTTCACCCTCATACTCACCGAGGAATTGAGAGTGCCCCTTTGCGAACATATACAACACGACGAACAAACGAACGATAATTAAAATAAACTTATCAGTTGAACCATGCAACAGGATAACCCCCCTTCGTTCTGTCTTATATAAGACTTGCCCTGGCTGCGAATAACAACACGGGGGGACTACCTCCCTCTATACAACCATATATACATAGATGCCCACCAAAGAGCTCCAAATTGACCCCTGATTGAAGAACCCCCCTGAATCTACTCCATTCGATTCTAAATCCACAACGCAACAAGTCAACCCTCTCATTTTCATCTCATTTCAATTCCTTTTCTTTTCATTGATCTCTCTCTCCTCACATCTGCTCCACAACGAATCACAGACAGAATTCTTTCATCCCTGACATATCGCGACATTCACCAACCCAGTCATGCATGCCGCCGTCAATTAAGCCAGAAGAGCAAATAAAACCTCCCAGCCACACAAAATCAAAACACACACAAAACACGCACAATGGCCTCCGACTATGAGGCGGATTATGCATACCTCGCACAGTCCCTCCCCACCCCGAATGACACCCCTTACAGAAACCCTTCAAGTCCAATGTCACGCCGGCCCTCCCTTCACCGGCGGGATTCCTCCCCCGGCCCCTCCTCGTCTCCCACACGGTTCTCCTCCTCCAACCGCTATGAAACAGATGGCCCTTCCAGCCCAGTTGACGCCGCAAACGACGAGACCATATCCCCCCTAGACCCACGTCGCTTCACACCAACGCTCCATGCATCTCTCGTGTCAGAAATCCTGTCCCTCCGCCGCGACATGGAGGCGAAAACCCGTGCCATCGATACGCTGGAGATCACCCTCGAAACCGCAAAGGCGGAAGCAGACTCCCTCAACGAAATGCTGGCCAAAAGCACCAAGGAAAGCCGCTCGCTGAAGCGGCAGATGCAGGTGCTGGAAGGTGGGTCTGTGTCCGCCATGGCTGAATTGTCCAAGGAGCGCGATGAGGCATTGGAGAACATTGCGGATTTTCGAAAGAGGCTGGAGCAGTCACAGAAGAGGGTGAGGACGCAGGAGGAGGAGATAGAGAGGGCGCAGACGCTGTGGGAGCGAGATAAGATGAATTGGGAAAAGGAGAGGAGGAGCTGGGAGAGGAAGGTTCACGTTGTAGAGGGGAGATTGAAGGTTGTTATTAATGAGGTTGCGGCGGCACAGGCGGCTGGGTCCTATCCCTGGCCTCTGGGTGCTGATGGTGACTTTGATGATGCCATTCGCGATGGCATGACGACTAGGGGCAGTGATACCAACAGCATTCGCTCAAACAGTATCTTGGAATGCCGTCGGACGAGTACGGCCAGTGTTAGTACCCATGACGGTGATCCGTATAATCTTCGATATTCGGTTATGAGCATGGCCAATGGCTATGGATCGAATAAGACCGATGGGCTAAATTTGGCGGATGAACTTGCCTTTGACGAGGAAGAGGAGGATACATTGGGTTTGGATGACAGGCCTGATTCAAGATGTACAGTTTCGGACGAAAGGGCTATGTCAATGCAGTCACGACGCATGAGCATGGTTGCCCGACGTACTGTGGACATGTCGGTTGATGGGTCGGAAAGATTTGGCACCCCCGACGTTCTCGAACATCCGAAGAATCTGGATGTGATTCGCGACATTGAGGACGATGAGAAGACGACCATTGCCGCACCACTATTCGAATATAGGGATGTAGGGATCCAATATACTCCACCTCCTTCCCCGAAGATGATCGCTTCTGATCCCGATGACTCGATTATTCCCGTCGAGCCTATAATTGTTGAGGACCCACCAACCGCTAGTTGCAAAAATGATGCAAATCAGGGGAGAAAGCGCGTGTGTTCGAACAAGGAAACGCCTGTTTACCAATCGAAAGACAGCAGTACAGTAACCATGGCTGCTCTCACCATATCCTCCTCGTGTCAAACAACAGCAGAGTTTCACAGCCCTCCAGGAACTCCAGAGATGGAGGAGACTACTCCAGAAGACTCCACGCCCACGCCCGTACTAACGGCCTCTTTGGATCCCCCGCTTCCAACTCCTGTAGTCGCAACAGCTTCCATCTCAACTCAAACGGACGATGTAATAATCATGGACGAGGAAACCCAACAACTAAAAGAAACCGTAAGCAAGGAGATGCCGCCAATCCCCATGATCACAATTGAACCCCCGGGCTCAAACCCACCCTCCGCAAGGAACAGTGTCGTCTTACCCCCACAAACAAAGAGCATATCATGCCAAACCAATATCCAATCACTTGTTGAACTGAGGTCGTGCGGCATGCAAACCGAAGAAATCCGCATTGACCAACGAGCTGTGAAGCTTCCCGCAAAGCTCCTCCCGTCTGCCATTACGGACCGTCCACATCCACAACCACATCCAACCAGCTCAGGTTCCACGAAGCTACCATCACCACCCCCGATCCGGGCATTCCGCGTCCCACCCCCTAAATCCGCAAAAAGAAGACTCCGCAATCCACCACCAGTTGATCCTCCAGAACCCGCAAGGACACCCTCCACCAGCAAAGAGCCCGGGAAGTTCCAAGCATATCCCGGAAACAACGATAACGGTCCTCTCTCTGAAGATGTAGACGTGAAGCCGGACATCCGACGACCGTTTAGGAGTAGCAGTTTATTTGCCGGATTTGAAAATGTCAGTGACGATGATGAATGGCCCGAGCCACCCGAGGATATGTTTAGCGATGAAGAGCTTTTTAATCGCCCGTTGGCATCTTACACGCTGCAATCCGGGAAGCTGGTTACCAAGCCCTCCCCGTCGATATTGGACGATAACCTACTCGAAGAGCGTGGACAGCGTGCGGAACGCCCGGCAAATGAAGAAGAAGATGAGCAACCTTCGCCAAAGTCCATTCGTTCACCACACGCTCCACATGCGCCAGCATCATCATCATCCTTAATTTCTCAGCAGCAACGGCCCATGGCCGCCTCTGCCTCCGCCGTTGTTGGCAAATCAGCAGCCCCAGTCAAACGACCGCCCAGACCCCTGAGACTGGGCAATGTCGCGAAGCAACCTGACATTCGCCGCACAGCCATGATCTCTAGCTCCACAGCCGCTCACCAGGCATATAGGCCACGCAGCCCCAGTGCTCCCAGCATCGGCAGCAGCGCAGCGTCCACCACAGCTTCCAAACCCCCTTTCCCAGTCCCCATTCGATTGAGCTCGCGCAAAATTCCCATCAGCGCAAGTGAAGGAGCCCAAAGCCCCACGCCGTATGGTAACGGGAACTTCCCGGAGCGCGATGGCCGGTTGTCGCTGTCGAAGGAACCTCCGCTGCGTAAAGTGCGTTCTGCAGCTGTTGTGTCGAGGAGACATAAGCATGGGAATGGGCATGGACATCCGAATGGCCATCACCGGCTGGATCGCCAGCAGAGTCGTTCGCCGCCAGCCATGTCGGCGACGTCCTCTGCGTGCCCTGAAAGTCCTCAGTTGCCGCCCATGCCCTTTGACGAAATTACGGCTCCACGAGGTAAGCGTGGGCCTGGCACACTGCAGTCCAATCGATACCCCCCACCTGCTGCCCGCTCACATCGGCGGCAGGAGTCGAGTGCAGCGACATCGGTGTCCGCGTCGGTACAACAGACTAGCGTTGTTGATGCGATTGCACAGACTATGGTGGGTGAGTGGATGTGGAAGTATGTAAGGAGACGAAAGTCGTTTGGGATGACGGAGAATAACAGAGATGGGTGGGAGTTGGGGAAATCTAGTGAGGAGGTTTCTGCGAATATCACGGGGAATGGCGTTAGGCATAAGAGGTGGGTATGGCTTGCACCTTATGAGAGGGCCGTAATGTGGAGTAGTAAACAGCCCACGAGCGGATCTGCATTGCTGGGGAAAAGCGGTCGAAAGCGTAAGTATTAGTACACTTCATTTTTCCATCTTTTTTTTTTTTTTTTTTTTTCAACAAGTTGACTAACACTTTATTTCAAAAGTAACGATCCAGTCCGTCCTCGACGTCAAGGATGACAACCCGTTGCCCAAGGGTGCCGGCCCTGGTAACCATTTCAGCCGCTCGATCCTAATCCTCACTCCTCAACGCGCACTCAAGTTCACAGCAATGACACTGGAACGTCATTTCGTCTGGTTAACAGCCCTTTCCTTCCTGAGTCACTCATCCATAGGCGCAAACGAGCTTGCCACGCTTCCCCCCGTGCCGCACGAAGAGTACCACCCACCCTCGAGCTCCTCGCTCCGCCGCAATCCAATCCGCGACTCCATCCGCGTAGCAAAAGGTAAAACTAAACCAACAGCAAACCGCACCTTCGCCTCCCATTCCCATTCCCATCCCACCGCCGTCCCCGAACTTCCCTACGACAAAGCCATCGACGCCGCAAACGAGCCAATTACGGACGCCGCAGATCCACCCAATGTGCCACGGTTTTCTTCCCACTCCCGCAAGCGGAGCAACACAGCACCACGACTGCCCCCCAGCACGTTCAGGTCCTTCTCAAACCACACAGCGGCCCCGTCAACATACAGCGCCACCACGGCCGGGTCGTCGGATCTCTACTCACCCTCGACTATTGGGTTGTCTGGCATCCATAGCGGGCAGAGTAGCTTTAGCCATCGTACCTCCGATGCTAGTGGACCGTCCAGTGTTGGTATGAGTAATTTCTTCGAGGCGGTGGGGACGATGAGGATGGAGGCATTTGTGGATCGAAGTGAAGTTGCCCGTCAACGGGGTTATGGTCATGGTTATATTTATCGATCACGGCACGGCGGAGGCGGTGGTGGGAGAAAAAGAAGGGAAGCCCATTATTGGCCGCCGAAAAGCCCCGATGCCGATCTTTACGGATCGGAAGACGGGGATACGTTGTTTCGCAATGAGGATCCCTTTCGAGAGTTCTGAGTGAAGGACTTTGCTGCTTTTGACTTCATGTCTGGCGAAGAGGGGCCTCCCCACGTTGTTCTTTACGTGAAAGAAGGAATGGCGTGAGTATATATGTGATTTTGGTTCCACCCGTGTTGATAATAGTTGTTTTCTCTTTTTTGTATTTGATTTTTTTTTTTTTGTGTTCTGTTTTCTTTTCCTTTCTTTATCTTTGAAAGATTCGGGATGGAGGTTGAAACTAGGTATGATGTGCAGAAGGGTAAGCAGATTCAGATGTCATAGAGAGGGAAAGCTGTCAATTGATATAGTGATATACCACTGTTCAAAGAGCTATGTGGGGGAAGGGAATGAACGCCCACCAACGCCAATGCCAGCATCAGCACAATCATTTTCGTTTTCATTAGTTCATCCCCCCCCCCCTCCTCCCCAAGCAGTTTTATTCCATGTCTTTTGATTACTTCCGTTCTTTGTCCTTTTTTATATCCTTGTCGCTCTTCGGGAGTTGCTGGCCATTTGTATCTTTTTCGCGGCGTTCTTCCTGTAACCGATCTTAAAACCTATTTTATTCCCGACCTTGTTTTCCTCCGGTATTCGTTCCCCCAGACCGTTGGCGCCCGTGGATATAATCCTTGATTTTATATTTTGCACCTTTTCACTCTCGGATCCTGTTATTTAGTTCGATTTCTTTTCTTTTTTTCGTTGTTTACTCTCTCCCTTTCTTCTTGTTATGTATACAAGGGAAAGTATGACGGAATTGGTTCTGGCTGAATATCCGATGTTGATATTGAATGTTTCTTTTTGTATCACTTCTCGTTCGTTTTTGAAAGAAGAATGAGGAATAGGAATAGGAATCAGCAATTTGGAATATGAACCCGCTCAAAACGGTCAAACGGACGTTCCCGTCCTTGGCTTAATGTTATATTCTCTTTTATAAACTTTTGGATTTCTTTCCCTTGTGCATTGGTTTCTTTTTCTTCCCTACCGTTGGCAGTTTGATTCTTCGATCGATCGATTTGATCGATTTCTGAGCGGGATCCACCGGCTTGATTGTTGAATCTCAGATGCCGTTTAGAATATGCGGGATTGCTGTACGGGGATTTCGATAAAATATCTGCCTTAGTTCCATCAATTTTGTCCCATTTTTTCCCGGTCGTCTCGCTTCTTTTCCTCCCTTTCTGCCTTCATGTTCAATACTTAATCGGCGAGTGTAAACAATTCAACTCACCCCACGTCTATCGAAGTTGGACACAAACGGAATGGAAGCAAGATGAGAAGAAGAATGAGCAGGAGGAAAGAGAGGCGGTCAACGTAATCATATCATCTATTGTTGCTTATGCCCATCCTGTGCTTTGTCCTCATCACCTTGATTCCCCCCCCCTTTTGCGAACGTTTGTCGTACATTGCGAGCATATATTGGTCGCCGCAATCTCACACATGTCGATTCCCGAATACACCCCGTCCAGATTCCAACATAGGTCCAATATCATCTTTGTTGGATCTGCATGTTTTCCCCTTTGTCACCTTTCCCCCTCTTTCAACTTCCCTTTCCGTTTATCGATATTTTGCTGACACACTTGCAACTTGTGCATAACTAGAAGGCTTGGAGTAACGGCATGATATCTTTATCCGTTTGTCGGTGTCACAGTTTCGTACAGGACATTGTGTCCAAGGTGTTACATATTGTAACACTTGCTACTCATGTGCCGCAATACTTCCTGAATGGATATCCGACCCCAGGATGTTTCGATCCTTGAGGTCCAACAATAAAAATGGAAGTATCTCCGACAAACCGCGAGAGGACACGGAAGGGGAAACGGAGCCTGATGAAGTGGCCCTTGTAGATGGGCGGCGCAGACATTTTTCTGGCCTCCTATTTACGACCTCTACTGCGTAAAAGTTGGCTCACTGGTATCTCGTAGCCATAGAGAGAAAGGTTGGTTTGTTTCTGCGGTTGACTCAGAGATAGTTGTCGCATACAAAGCCGTTGAATCAAGTCATGCGATCTGGGCAGCTCAATCCATTGTCCTGTTATCTTCGCCCGTTGCATAGAGTGCATAGACTTGGGTGACATGTCATCGTATTAGAATGTGTCTGAAGTTTCTCCCGAATATTTTGCTCATGCATGTCCTCACTAAGTCATCCCATGGATAGATAAATATCAAGGGCTTCAACAATGCCCCATATCAGACTGAATTGTATGATAAAGTAACCTATCCATGTGACGACTGCATCAAGCGATCCGATAAATGCTGAGATATGAGAAACAACGGGGTATTGGAGTTTTTCTGATCATCCGTTGGGCGTCTTCTCTGCATGAAAGACATCCAGTTCCCGCCACTTCTCACAAAGCTTCTATAGTTATCCAACCCTGGAATACTTTCCAACCCCCTCAAGTTACCCCGTTCACCCTGCGTATCAACACCTAATCCGCTCCAACAACCGTGGCCACATCCGTCGGTAAGACATACACCTCCTCCACCGGCATCTTGCGCCTTGCCTCCTCTATCTTCCCCTCCCCCACCAACTGACCTATCTCCTGCATCAACCCTGTGACATCCCTGATCCCTACTGTCCACTCATCCACATACCTATCCACCGCCTCTTCTTTCAACCCAACCTGCAGCGACCTATACTCTAGGGGTCGGAACTCAAAATCCCGCTCCGGGTCCCACTGCACACGTACGGGACTTTCATTCTTGCGAAGCTCCCAGGCTGCGTGGTCCGCATACAGGCGTGGGGTGGGATGGCTCAGACAAGCATGTGCCAACGCCCATTCGAACCCCTCGCGTGCAATTTCTATAGCTAGCACGCGCTCCTGGTCCTTCTTGGTGGCCCAGCCGCAGCGGTAGGCCATCCAGAGAAATGAGGGCTTGATCCAGGTCATGCGCCTGCGTTTGAAAGGGGCGACGAATTTCCCCGCGTACAGCGCCGCGTTGGCAATTGCTGGTGGATAAGCTTGGTAGACGGTTATTGTTTTCGAGGTATATTGAGCCCGGATGGAGTATTTTGTTGGAGCAACATTGGGCTGGTCCATAGTTTCTGTGACTGTTGGAAAGATTACTCGCTAAATATTTGAATCGAGAATGTGATGGTCTTGGTTCTTGGTTATATTAAATGTAGGGAGATTAACTATTTGGCTTCGACAGGAGAACACCAGGCAAATAAATACTCAGGGAAGCTTGGATTGGACAGCGACCATGTCCCTTTGACGATGCAATGTTCTTATCCGAGTTTTTGACAAGGCTTCATAACGTTAACCAATGGCGGGTATCTTTCTACGCCTGACCAGGCGTCGTGTCCAGCCATGTTTTGAGGGGATAAGCGGATAGCATTTCACAGCCCGGTTTGAGTCACTGATTCGGGTTAATTCAACTTGGAGATGCATCCAGAGACACAATAGCGACACAGAGAACAGCGAAATAAATATACATTTGGCAGACTGACTCGGCTGAGGAAGCCAGACGGAGATGGATCATCCCAGAGCAATGCTGCCCAGCTGCTTTTTAGGTTCCGACATCTATTTATCTCCCCCTTCGCCCAAGTATCTTACCGGCACCTAGACAACTCATACATGAGGTTGGCTGAGCTCTGTTCCGTATCACGATCAAGGGTTATCCATGGATGATAAAAGAGTTATCACCTAGTCTGGCAAAGAAAACTAAGAAGTGACCGTGGCTCCAGCTCTGATTTATGATGAGATGCTAACTGTGTATTTAGATAGTAACAAGATGGTGAGAAACGGGATTTCCTAGTTAGAATTAAAATGGGGAATTCGAGGGAATACAGAGATCTGAAGGAGAAGAGAGCAAATTTAAAAATCTAGCTTTGTAGATAGGTTCCTCCGCTTCCTCATCAACACCATCATCATCCTTTGGCAAACATCAGCGTACGAGCTTTGCGCAGGACCGCCCGCCCAGCCAACCTGCAAAACAGCCCCGTACACACTCTTCGCTCTATCCCCTCTGCCAAACAATCTTTGCAAAATCCTGATGGCACCTCTTCCCATTTATCCATTTGCTATCTTCTGGTCTCGTCCTGAGCTGGTAAGCAGATTGGGAGTGCTGAGACAGCATGCAAAAGCTCACTGAGAGGGTGTTTAGGCCCCTGAAAATTCTCCATCGACGATATCGGCCAGTCGTCCGTCGCTAGCAAACATGTTGCCACCATGGAAGTCCTCGTGGACAAGTGCGCGGGGCTCCGCATCAACATCTTGTAGCATTTTGTCTTCTTTCCACACTGCATCTCGCTCCCGGTTTAGGAACTTTGATAATATTCGAAAACGGTAACTAGTGGTTTTAAACCCACGACGACTTTCAATTGCACTATATTGCGAAATAACAGGGATTTGAGGCTGCTGACACTGATGCTAACAGTATAATATCCGTTATTCCGAATGTTCGGTTGACGGTTCGGATTCGGATTCGGATATTTGACAAATCTTGTTTCTTCAAAGGCTGGAAACCACATTGGCGAATGCTCCACACGATCGATTGCCCTTCTGATCTTCGCTAATTTAATTGAAGCCCACACGGCACTCAGCAGCTCACCTGGGATGAACTCCTGAGCAACGAAGGCACAGCCAGCGTGGAATTGATCATCCCAAGCAAGAACTCGTGGTGCAAGAATATCAGGAAAACTTCTCAGCAAGGAAGAACAAACGGGCTATATACCTCATGGAGAAGCTGGTAGTTATGGTTGAAGACTATCGACGTTTTGCTTGAGGGTGTGGAGCACAATCTTCTTTTCTAATTCCGCGACTCTCTGTTGTGTTCCACGTCAGGAGCAGGAGATGGGTTTCGAGGAAGAAATGACGGATTTTGCGAATCGTGACTTATTTACTATAGAAAATGTCAACAGCCAGAACGTAGTTGTTATGTAAATATGCCCCGCAAGCTAGATATTCAATGTTAATCAATCCAGGCAGCCCATCCAGGTCTTTGTCAGCCTTTGCAGCCACCTTCAATGTCCCAGCCATACGGGCCTCCACGTTTATTTCCTTCAGTTCCTCGCTACACAGGTGAACAGATGCTTGGTCTCAATCTTCTCAAAAGCCGTAGCAGCTCCAACTTGGTCAATGCTGCCCGTCGCTCAGTGGCCTGCCCTGAATGGACTAATATGCCGGTTATTGGGGGAGCATTTTACCTGAAGATTGGGCATGGATGGGAGCGAAGCTCTGCCAACTTTATCCTGTTTGACAAGGGATTTTGGGTCATAAGAAATTGGCATCCAGGCAAGGGATGCCAGCTGCACGAACGAAATGTAACAAACATGAACTAACTACATCAGCTGTGAGAGTGATATTTATACAACAAAGAACATTCGATAGCAGGAAGTGCTACAAAATGCACATTCTAGCTACTAGGCGATAGAAACTAAGTAAAAATAGATTAGAATAGAATAGAAAAATCTTGTCTGTTCACTGACCTTGTTTGTTAAAAATCTCAGAGGAATATGCGTACATACATCTAATAAACACAGGCGAGAACCGCAGCAAATCCATGAACTCTTCACCACATAGAATTACAAGCTCATGGTGACCTTCACTCGTTTCCTTTCCCATATGTGCAGCAAGATACGAGATCAAAAAGGAAAATGACAAAGGAGAAGAACAAGAGATGTAGAAACAGAGCAAAGGAATCGCCGTGGGGCTGGCTATTATGTTCCTACCCAAGCAGCACAATTAATATATATATATACACGATAGAAATAGAAGATTGATCTATTAAGTCAAGGAAAAAGCGAAAGACAATCATCGTTTACTGAACGGATTTATAGTTTCGCGGCCTCCTTGACCTCGCCAATTTTCAGTTTGCCGCCGTACTTCTTCAGCACGGACTCGTTGTGATACTGTAGTAGTGCCCATTCCGTTCAAGTTAGTTATGAAGTTACATGAATAGAGGGCGTGGCAAGATGAAATGTCTGGTGAGGTTAATCTTTGCACTGACCTTCCAAAACTGCTTCGACGCATCCTTGCCCCCAACCCGTTTTAGGATCTTCGCGCCGCCAGGATGCTCATCTGCAAATTGTGTCACGTCGTATACGCTCGAGTCTATGATGATGTAGATGCCATTGTCGGCCGTGTTGTGCTGGGCCACCTCGGCGGTTGTGAAGGATTTCGACATGACTGCGACGCGTATTGGTTTGCGGATATTGGATAGGCAGTCTGATGAGCTCTTCTTTGCTGTTTTTTGGGTCAAGAAAATATTGATTTCCGCTGAGGAGGGATGCGCAGGGAGATAACAGGTAACTAGGTCAAGTATCTCGGCAATAGGATCGTAGAGAGAGGTTGAAGCGTATGGGAGGAGTCTCAGATTGAAGGAAGAAACATCCAACCGACCAGAGTTAAAAAAGATAAAGACCAAAGAGAGATGGGCTAAAGGGTCCGAGGTTTTAGTTCACCCTCTCTATGAAAGTATTTAATAATAGTGCAACCTTGCAGGCCAGAAAACCGCGGAGAGGGTTCTGTTTGTCCGCTCTCGTATCTCGGTAATAATATATCTTTTTGAGGCCGGTTCTGGGTTTTGCGCGGCTGGCGACAGCCGAGGTAAAATCTATGACAGGTCTTTGTCAGCCGAATCCAGCACGTGATGATTGGTTGAACGGGGTTTAGCGTTAACTAGGGATGTCAGGTGATCCCTTTGGATTGTTGCTTCTTCCGTCCTTTGGTATCCGGTATAGAAACGCAAAACCCAGCCAATATATAGAACTTGACTCAGTTTCGCCGCGATGAGCCAAAACAACAGCAACATTGCTATCACCAAGGCTCCTCTTCACTCTAAAAAGAAGAGAGCCCGCGCAATCTCCTCTGCTCTGCTAAAACCCCTGGATGACCCCCCCCAGCCCCAAAACACCATGTCCCAGGACGTGTTGGACACTACAACAGCCACCACAGCTCAACTACATCAAATCAATATTGACTTCAATCCCCGCCCGGCCCTCTCACCAGGAGGAGAATCCATCAAGAATGTGACTGACTGCACTCAAGCAGTCCTGCTAACTGTGAAGAACTCCTCTTCCACAGTGAATTATAAGCTCAATGCTCTGCTGAGTCATGTCAACAACTCCTCCTCTGCAGAGCTAGCTGCAGTGCTTGAGCTATGCAATAAGCTATCTGCAGTACTGGACTCAATACTCTGCACTTATGAGAACTCTCTACCATGCCAGACTGCTGTACTAAGACAAGTCATGGGACATGGCATAGTCAAAGTCATTAAAGACCTCACTGCTGAATCAAAGCCTACATTGACATATGCTACTGCTGTGACAGCTAAGGCAATCCCCTCAAACAATCCCTCCCAGACCATTTCAGCAACAGGACAACCTCACAAGAAGCAGGTACAGTGGGCCAACTGCCCCCTGCATCAAGGACAGAAAGACAAATGAGTCATGATTAGACTATCTGCAGCACATGCTGCTCATGATCTAGACCCTCAAGCTATTCATGAACAAGTATGCATCATGATCCCTGATCTGATCTGGATCACTGATGTATGGCACTGCTCATTGGGAATCACCATGGCTGTCCCCTCCTCAGTGAAGGCAGCCTTCATTCTTGAACATGCAGATAAGCTGAAAGCTGCTGTAGATGACTGTCTTATTGAGTGACAGAAATTCTGAATCATCTTTGTAGTCAGTTCAATCAAGAAGTTGACACACAGCTTCAAAGAACAGAATATCACTCTGATTTCAGTGTCAGAAGAGATGCTTTTTTTTGAGATTTGAGATGCTGCTCATCAGACTTCAATCATCTGTTGTCACTGGACAAAGAAGTCCATGGACCTCAATCTGCATGAAGGGTACATCTGAGTTGAAGTATGAACCTCTGGAGTGCATCTCTTTTCAAACAAACTTCATCTTTTCAGTCATCTGATGATGATTAACAAAATCAAAAAATCATCAAAGATTTCAATTTGCACAAGATGTCATGACTTTCACACAGAAAGAAACTGTGTGTGATCTCTATGTTGTGAGAAGTGCAGCAGTCCCACACATTCAGACAGATGTCAAACACCAGCTCACTGCTGCAACTGCCTTGGCCCTCATTCCACTCTCAGCACTGACTGTTCAGCAAGGCTCAAAATAGTCTCTGAATGTATAGAACACATCTTCTGCTGTCAGCTACACTCAATACATGAAGCTGACAGAAGAGCATTCATCTCAGCTCATCAAACTTCAGCAGAGAAGAGCAATTCAGAGCTAAACTCTAAAGACTTCATCTCATCTCCTCTCTCAGCTCTGCTGACACCAGTCACTAGCTTCCAGAGCAATCAGACAGACTCAATGATCTGCTCTCAAACAGACATCAAGATCACATCAAGTCTGAACCTCTACTAATGAAGAGCAGTCACAGCTCTTCTCACAAATCTACACTCACTGTATATCAAGTCAATGTAGAAAGACAGTCAAGCTCCCACAACATTGCTCTCTCACTAGCAGACAAAAGAGTCTGTGACATTGTGATCATTCAGAAACTCTGAATAGCTATGAACCTCTTCATCCACCTCTTCAAAAGTCATTTCTCATACAAATGCTTCACTCTGCTCTTCTTCAACTGGACCAAGAGGTCCAGAGTACTGCTCTATGTCAGAAATGAAAGAGCTCTTGCATCAACTCAATCTATAGCAGATATCTCAAGAAATGTTGTCTGTGTCTCAGTTAAGATCTCTAACTTCAAAAGAGCTAATATCTACAACATATACAACACCTCATCTGGCATCACAGATGCAGGTCAAGGCCTTCAAGACCTTCTCTATCTTACACACACCACAGAGACCATTCTCTGAATGACATTAGAAGACTTTAATATTAGACACACAGCATGAAACTCTACAACTGATAGACATTCTCAAGCAGAAGAGAATCTGTATAACTGAGCAATCTCTCTGAAACTCCAGCTTCTCAACCTGGCTGAATCCTCTACACATAGACAAGAAGACACATTTGATCTTGTCTTCTGTGCTGCCAACTCAGCTATCTGTCATATTGCTTCTGAACTGCACTGCATCTCAGATCATGAAACTCTTATCACAACAGTTCAATTATCACAGACTCAGACTCAATTGATTAAAAAGAAGAAGCTTAGTCTTGCAATCTGTGATGCTGATCACTTCTTGCAACTACTCACTTTCTTCTTCTCATCAGTCTATGAGAACATGAATGAGAAAGTGATGGACATCATGAAATCTCTTCAACTGACTCTACAAGGCTCCTGCTCTCTCACCCCAGGACTCAAGAGTCATCATGCCTCATGGTGGACCTCAGCAGTCAAGATAGCCAGAAGAGTATATCATGCAGCATGTAGACACAGCCCTTGTCAATCAGAACAAATGACATTTCAGATGGAAATTAGAAAAGCTAAGAGAGCATGAAATTGCCAGTGAATTGAGAAGGCTTCCTTCTTATCAGATGTCTACAAGATTGTCAAATGGCATAAATATCAATCTCAAGACTCCACTCCTTCTTTACAACATTCTGATGGACATCTAGAACAATCTTGTGCTGGCAAATCTTCTCTACTGCATGAGACACTTCTGGCCAGACATCTTGACATGGAAGATATCTCAGAGCATACATCAACAATTTCATGCAGAGAGATACTCTGAATGCCTCTTACAGAGCAGGAAGTCTACAGAGCCATCTGCCAGACACTTAGCACATCTTCTGGCCTGGATGGCATTACAGCCAAGGTTCTTCAAAAGACATGGCCAGTGATAGGCAATTGAATCATTCTACTCTTTCAACACTGTATAGATCAAGGAATTCACCCCCAGAGCTTCAAAAAGGCTGAGGTGGTGATTATTTCAAAGTCAGAGAAAAGAGATTACTCTCTATCAAAGTCTTACTGCTCAATCACACTGCTATTCTGTCTCAGCAAAGGGCTGGAGTGTCTGATAGCTAGATGAATGTCTCATCTCACTCTTCATCATCACATTCTAGCAGAAGATCAGTGTAGTGCTGTTCAACAGAGGTCTGCAATAGACCTCACCACTGCACTAGCCTGTGATGTACAAAAGGCATGAGACAAACACCTTCTGATCAGCATGATCACTCTAGATGTCAAAGAGATCTTTGACAAAGTCCTTCAAGACTGGCTTCTAAGATGTCTACAGGAACAGAGCTGGCTGGCAGTTCTGATAAAGTGAATAGCATCTTTCCTCAATCAACAACTAGCTTTGATTCAACTAGATGATGTTCAATTGAAGGTGTTTCAGATTCTCTGTGATCTTTCACAGAAATTCTCTGTCTCATCAATTCTCTTTCTGCTCTATGTAGAACCTCTCCTCCAGCTTATCAAAGACCAGTTTGAGTATGCAGATGACATTGCAATTCTGAAGACTGGAAGCTCTCTTGAGTGAGTAGAAAGTCAGCTTCAGAATTCTCTCAATCACATTCTGAAATGAGGTATCAACAATGGAATCTCATTTGACCCAGTCAAGACAGAGCTTCAATACTTTCATAAAAAGATCAAGTACTTGGAGCCCTTCATCTTCTTTAATGAACAGACAATTTCTCTCAATAACTACATCAGATGGCTAGGGGTTTTCTTTGACAGAAAGTTACTCTTCAGAGAACATATTCATCTTGTGTGCACTCAAGTCAGAATTGTTACAGAACACATTAAATCACTAAATAAAGTCTCATTTGAAAATTAAACACATTTGCTCAGACAAGCAACTCAAAGCTGTGCCTTCAGCACTCTGTTTTATGAAGCTGAGACCTGGTTCTCAAAGTGAATCTCTCAGGCAGTCATTGACAAGATTCAGATAGTCTTCAACAACACTGCTCAAGTCATTCTACCTGTCTTTGCCATAACATCTACCTCTGTTCTCCTACATGAATCAAGCTGAGGCTCAGTCAAAGCCTGGCTAGAAAGAATACATGACTGACTAGCTGTTCATGTAGCTGCAGCTGATCTGTCACATTCTCTACACTGAAGATGATACACCTCACATTTTAAATGAATTAGATGAAACATTAAAACAATGACCATCACACTCAGCTCAGAGTCCTTGCCTCCTTGGGACAATTCTGGCATATCAATAGAGAGCAAAAGACACTAGAAATTGGGGCTGTGGAACAAGCTGCAGGATCAGCAGCTTTCCAAAACTGACTTCAGAAAGCT